TAAATAAAGGAATTATCTTATTTTGCTATGGATTGCAAGCAAGCAAGCTAATGTTAGCCAGCCAGCTGCAACCCGGCCATGCTGAATAGCTCTATCCGTCACCAGCCTCCTCACAACGCTAGCCGATAAAGTAAGATAAAAACAGAATTTGCCAGTAGACTGCCCCGGCAGTCTGTATGAAAGCAGACAGTATTAGCTAGCAAGCAATTTGTCTACATTAGTAAGCAAACTAACGTAAGCCAGCTAAAACCACAATATTACAATATATTTCACAAGCTTTTCAGTAACTTGTTGTAACAGTTGACTTTGTGTTGGACTGATTTCACTCATCCATGCCCATCCAATTGAAATTAATGTTTTAGAAGTAACCAGGTTACAGTTGGTTTTCTCCAGTAAGCTGTTTTTTTAACTGACAAGTAAACGAGTTAGTTTCTGTAATCGGGGTAGTGGTTAAGAGAAACCTCTCTCCACATACACCGATCAGCCATAACATGATGATCACCTGGACACCCTGGTGGTCATAATGTTATTCAGTCCCATTATTCAGGAAGGGAATTCCCATGTAGCTTCCTTTTGTAGAATGCTGATTTCTCTGCCCTGTATATGCTTGATGGGATTTTACACGTTACAGGCAAAGTAACAGTGTGGCCAGAAAAAAGGAGAGAAACATTACATGGAGCATGGCATCCTCATATTTTAACTAGCACTGTCCAGTCCCACTTAAACTAACACAGGGTACTACAGTGCATGTAAACCTGTTCTCCGATTACCCACATAACCTGGTTTCTCTGACTAACCTTGTTATTTAAGTGCATGTAAACTCAGTGCAGATGGTGTGAACCCACAGTATCATAGTCAGCATGTTCTGCACACTGTATTTTGTACCTTCTATCAGATTATTTTTAGCATTATTTTAGTTTTAATCCTTAAGATTTTCAAGAAATGTAACTCCATCAGTGATACTATTTATGGTGAGCATTTTTTTCTCCAATAGCCACTGATCTATTTACATTTAGTAGTTACCTCTCTATATTGTAGATTTAAGTGATACTTGGTGCTGCTGTTGGGCAAGGTTCAGATTGTCTTTACACACAAGGAAGTAGGATGAAGTAACCTTGCTCATTGATGGCTCTCTACAGTTTTGTCAGAGCTGTATTAAATTACTGCTAATGTGGACCCAACATTTCCTACTGCTGCTGCTTTATGTTAAAAGCGTTCAAGTGGCAAAGCATGAGGTAGTTTTATTATGAAGCAGTCACAAGCTGGAAAAGTCCCAGTGAGCTGTTAGATGAACCGTAGCATGGGACAGACTCTTACTGCACACTCCTTTTACTGTGCATTGCTGTCCTGTGGAAAACAATTTATAACATGTGCAGAGTATCATGGTTTGGTGGGAAATGATCATTTATTGACTTTCTTCTTTATTTAACCAGTGTGAGACGATGAATGCTATCAGCCCACAGTTTGTGGCGACACTGTAAACAGCAGTCTGATGACGATTTAGCAATGTTTTGGGGCTTCTGGTGTATCTAGTGGATATCCGGAAAATAGATATCTAGGCCATGACTACTTCTTCAGTCTGATTAGCAAGTTGATACCCAAGACTGACGGGAAAGACACGTTTTGGTTAATCTCTATAAACAGATATCTGCTTCTAAATGCAGATACATTCTTAAAAAAGCTAATAAGAAGCGAAATCCTTATAGTCAGTAGTTAATAGTTAATGGGTTCCCCCTCTTTTGCTCTCCACACAAAGTTTTTACCTGCATGCAACTAAAGGCCGCTCAAATGTGATTGGCCAATACTACTCGGACTACAAACCCAAGCCAAAAAAAAATCTTTGTCCCTTGCCTACAGATTCTGCACTTATATTAAAAAAAATCTGGCCATAGCAGATCTGCCAGATCTCCGGGTGGCAGCCGGGACGGCCAGGTATTTCTTTTTTAGGGGTGGCAGGTAGATTGGTTTCAAACAGAACTCTGGGACCTCAGTCAAACATACCTGCTGTTACCATCAGTAGCTACAGATGTAACCAGATCAAGCAGGAATAAAACTGTATTAATATAAGTAATAATCCTTACACTAGAAATACAGCAGAAGAAGAACTGCTGTATTCGTTTACAGCATAGCCACACAAGTCGTCCAATGTGGTAATACTGAACTCATTGGCTTTTGTCTTCTCCATCATGTACAGTAGCATGCATAATTTTCTGCAAATCCCTCATGTGTAAGTATGCAATGTAAACTAGTGCAGGATGCACTGCATCACATATCAAAGTGTCCTTGAGCAAGATACTATACCCCAAATGGCTCCTGATGTTGTGCCATCCCGATGTGTATGAATGGATGAATGTGGCATGTAATGTAAAGCACTTTGATTGGTCGGAAAAGCACTATATAAGTGCAGTCCATTTACCATTCTACGGAGTCCGCCATGTTTCCGCCATGTGGGCGGCTGTGGCTCAGAGGGAGAGCGGTCGTCCCCCAATGGAGGTTGTAGTTTCCATCCCGGCTCCTCCTGCCACGTGTCGAAGTATCCTTGAGCAAGATACTGAACCCCAAATTGCTCCTGATGCACAGCATCGGTGTGTGAATGTGTATGAATGTTAGTTTCTGTTCCTGAGTGGTCGGAAGACTAGAAAGGCGCTATACAAGTACAGGTCCATTTACCATCCATCCATTCTACAGTAGCCCAGAATGGACAAACCAAACACATTTTTTAGCAAGTTTTGCAGCCACTGTAGTTTCTCCTGCAGGCTTGGGGAGGGTGAGGCACGGAGTTGCAATCAGCAACTTCAACAATAAATCCTAAATAAATTTTAATAATTAATAATAAAAACATTTCCCTGGACTAGTGCTTTTTATCTCCCACTTCAGTGATTTTATTCAGACACTCTCTTTGTGTCTGTCCCTTTTGCAGATTGACCCTAAAGTTGCCTTTCCCAGACGTGCTCAACCCAAGGTAAGAAAAGCCTTTCCTCCTTCTTAAGCTGTCATTGCTGTCAGAATGAGCTGGTCTGGTGATTTTAGTTGTATCCATTTCCAGACATGTTGATTAGATATATATATTTATTATTTTTTTTTTTTTAAGACAGAACATGTAGAGTTTTTGAAGTGCCTCCCACTTCCTTGAGCTGAAACACAGGTGACAGTAAAGATGTGAGACAGTTTGTTTAGATATGTGTGTGCTGCATGAGTGCATGCATCCAGTAATTCACTTGTTTTTTCCGCCAAGGATGCTGTGTGATTGAATTCAGCGCTTCTTGTTGTGCAGAAAAAGCTGTTGTCACAGAGAGGCAGAGGCTGGGCGCTCAAAGCCAGACAACGTGCTCTTTAGGACGAGATGTTACTGTAGAGATGACTACCAGCAAGGGACATGTTTCCTACCCTCTGCTGTTTTTGTCTACTTGAAATACACTTGTTTAAGTCAAAGCTGGCAGTCTGAGCAGCATTATTAGTGAACGTTTAGAAGCCTGGAAACACCACAGCTTTTATATTCACTACATTGTGCACATACAGCGGCAAAGGTTTAATACTTGTCTCCTGTGTGAGCTGTGTTGGGTGGTCAGGGAGGGAAGCCTTTGCATTTCTAATTTGAATAAACATGAAATTTACTCAAGGACATCCACAGCGATAAAGAGGAGTGCAGACAGCCAGTTTGTGCAGCCAGCAGCTGTGAAGGAACTGCGAGTTTGCAGAGCACAGTGGAGGATGGCTGAAGGTTAAACGGGATCTGCATTTGTCTTGTGGACTCGCTACTTTAGGGCAAACTTGTGTGTGTGTGTGTGGGTAGGTGTGGGTGTGTGTGGGTGTTGTGTGTGTGTGGGGTTTTCTGGTCTTGAAATTTGAGATCACTATTATGTATCATCTGTTACTAGGGTTTCATCGCATCTCACCCATTGAAGCTGTTGATATTTTCAGTTGTTTAAAAGATACTAAAACTGTCACTAAAATTCCGCACTTCACTCAGAAAGTTTCTACTCTGATGGAAAAACATGGCCTGGCATGGCATGGCAATTTTCAAAGGGATCCTTTGACCTCTGACCTCAAGATATCTGGATGAATATGGGTTCTATGAGTACCCACGAGTCTCACCTTTATACACATGCCCACTGTTTGCTAATCCATGTTTTTTTGCCAGAGGTATAAATGTTTTATTTGCATAAATTGGGAATGACTGGAAAGCTGAGACACATACTTCATGCCACCCCTGCATAAGCCAGTGCAGCACTTGTGCTACCCCAGTCAAAACAGCCTGGAGAGACACCCCTGGCTGACCCAACCCATTTGATGGTTCCAGCATCTCCAATTTGAAGAATTGGTCATCAGTGTTTTGGGAAAAAAACGACTTGAAGAATTCTGGGAAAACTATGTTTTTCATTCTTCACCATTTTCTAATGTTTTATATACTAAACTACGAACTAATTGATTGAGAACACAATATGCAGATTAATCAATAATGAATATAATCATTCGTCGCATCTTCAGTATTTTCCTACAGCGGTATCACCCAAAGATAACACTGTGTGTTCCTTAGAAAGCAGCTGTCCAGATGACATTCTCTGATGTCGTCTAAATCAATAATGATGAACAGTTGTTCCATGAATGTGGTACATGGCTGTAAGTAATGTCCTAGACTACATTCAGAAACAAGAGAAAAGGAACAGCTAAGGACAGCTACAAATTTATTCTGTCTCTGTAATGGCTCCTGTAAACATACAGGGAATCAGTTTTAATGAAAAGAGAGACGATTATTATAGTCTTATCTTTTTTTTTTGCTCTGCATAGGTTTAAGTATTAGCCTTTTTTCGTGAGGATTGTAGTTTCTGACACAGCCCATCGTCATTCCCAGGTCGTCAACTCCAGCTGTGTTCAGTTAGTTGCAATCTTAAACTGTTTGGACTAAGATATAGCGTTACCCTCACAGTACGTTCAAACGTCTGCAACCTCAACATCCTGGATCAAACACAATTTTTTTTTTTGTGTGCAACTCATTAGGATCAATAATACCAGTAAATAAAACTACTAGCTGAAAGACTGCAATTTGTAATGATGTAAAAATATATATGTTATATATACAATTCATAAACCGTACTTAATGTGGAACAGACATCTGGCTGACACACGGCTGACATCCGATCAGCTTAATAAAGTCAATATCGGCCCTGATACTGATCCAGCAAATTGGATTTGTCCATTCCTAAGAAGATTTCTGATCATAGAGATATTTCTGAGATGGTAAAAGTCGACTGTAATGATGCAGCTAATGGGGAAAAAAAAAAAACTGCACCCACCGAAAACTTAGAACTTTGATTGTAAAAGAATACTTTGAATGGAATAGTCTTGCTTATTAACAGTTTTTGATGCTTGTGTGTTACTTTCTCTTCAAGTCAAACTCAGTGAAGTTGAGAAGAGATGTGCTCCTGAGCTGAAAATCAAACTTGCTGCAGTGCTGGTCATACCTGCCATTATATAATTGTTCTTCTTGCTGGTTCTTCTTTTTCTGTTAAGTTAACCGTGGCCCCTACAAAAACCTAATGAATCAAATTTAAAATGAAAGCTACAAACCAAACACAGTTTGTGCACAATTTGCTGCTTGGCTTCAAACTGCACGTGATGACTTTAAACACACAATATGTAATTTCTGCCACTCGGGGTGGTCTCTCACATTAAAACAATAACAAAAGATGAAGCTGGAGGAGGTGGTAAAGCAGCGTAGGGATTATGGGAGTTGTCTTCACCACCATTACCGTCATTGCAGTCAGC